TTTTCAACATTTCTATTCCTTTCTTGTGAAGGAATACCTTAACTGGACATATTGCAGGGATCTTCAGGATTTTGAGCTGAGAAGGTGGGATTTTTTAGTCCGTAGACATGTATGCCTCAATGAGTCGTGTATGAATCGGGCATGCTATGATACGGGCCATTTGTATCTTTAGAAGATTATTCCTCCGGGTCCATACGAAAAAAAATATTCTTTTCATGTGAAAATATTTTTGGAAATGGATTGATTGATTAGCTTAAATGGCTGCAGAATTTCCTCCTTTATAACAGTAGCATTTGGCTGTGGTTTTGTTACCATAGACCCGGTCATGAAAATCGAAAGTTTAAGACCTATTTGCTTGGTTGATATTTGATATTTATATTATATGTATATTATATTTTTTTATTATTTTTTGAAGAACCAATAGTGGAATATCTTTAATCTTGTCGAATCTGGTTATTTGCAAAGAAAGTGTTCATTTGTTTCCAGAGTCCTAATTAAATTGTCTGGGACCAACTAATGAATTTTCTCGTGTTAAAACATGTTTCTCGTAAGAGGCGATTAAAATACAGTAGGTACCAAACGATACTGTTCACATCATCATGGTAGTAACTCAATTGTATGTGTAAATCTGGTACCACGAGGTACAGGATTCACAGTTTCGGCTGTCTTGATCAATAGAGGTTTGTTCTTGAATGTGAGTATCGTGGTGGTTTTGGTTAGAACCTAAAGTTCTGGAGATGAAATGATTGTATTCGTTACTTTTATTTGAGTTGGAGCTTTAATTAGTACCCTCAGAATTCGAATGAGAGCATTCATTCGCATTATACTGATACATGTGTTAAGAATACCATGGTGTTAAGTCTTAACGGCAGGTAATCATGGTAAAAAATTATAACTCTGTTACTTAGAAGTTGCAGACTACTTTGTGTAACCTTAGACACATGTAAAAAAATCATACACTGGCTAGGAAGACTGGCTTGGGTGTGTGATTTCAGTATGGATTTTAATGATTTTAAATAACAGTTTATCCAGTTGTTCAGTAATAATAATATTATAAAGGTGTTTGGTTTGGGTATCTACTTTAAGTTGGAAAAACTTCCAGTCAGTGGAATATATATTAATTTTAGTGGTCTTAAGAACTGAGTTAGAGCGATAGAGGTATTCTTCAAGGAATATTGAGATGACTTTTGGATACATTTTTGCAAAAATGAGATCAATTAAGTTTGAAATTTCGATCGGATCCGAGATCAGTTAATCGTATACCTTACTAAGCGGGTATATCGCCTACAAGGTGTTGTATTTGAATACATTTGGTGTTTAGGGTCCAGAGCCTCTTCAAAGACTTAGTAATATGTAAGTAAGCATGTAAATAGCCTGTTTGTCGCTGTGAAAATCACATGGAATAAATTGTGTAATACCCCACGCAACTTAAGGTTCTTTGCTTTTTATTGAGTTGTTCCAAAGAGAACCAGAGAAGATATAAAAATATTGTCTAATATATTTCACAAAGTTTATTCAATGAAGCAGTTAACATATCACAGAAGTTAATATATCTAATAATTCGTATTAGATTATTTTATAACAATAAGTAAGTAAATAAGTAAGATAGGTTTTCATTTATGTCTTTAAAAATCAGTGTTACTGAACATTATAAATTTTTTCTAAGAATATTATTAAAAGTGATAAATACTTTGATATAGTTTGTATCAAATATTTTTAACTTATGTGTAAATATTCGCTTTTATTTTCCAAATATCGTTATCTCATACTGATATCGTATATTTCATTTAAATCAAAACACCTTTTCGAAGTTATATTTTTATTTAAAACATACACATCCTCCAGTAGTTTGGATAATTGATTGTTAAAACTTCTTAAGCTATTAAATAATAAATCAACAGTAAAAATCTAGGAAAAATATCCGATTTCCTATTTAAATTCACTTCAACTTTTTATGTAAATAAAAGTTTAAGATTTTCACGCTCATTTAGTGGTACTGCATCTGGTGGTACCGAATTGTGTATGCCAGTTGTGAAAAGATCCCGTGGCGAGGCTTACGAAAACGGAGCACAATTTCCAACACTTCGGGGGTGTAAGGAAACTTTTCTAGGGAAACTAATGCACAACTCAAGTGGGCAAAGTTGCAGGTGGTAATTAAAAATTTTAATTTTCATATGCAACAAATTTCCAGTGAATTTTACAATGGAGATATTATAATGACATTCAAAAAGATTTACACAGTATTAAGTGGAACTGTTTTATAATTAAAATGAAAGTTTAGGAATATATAATTCGTAGCAGAGTCAGTTAGAATGCATGTGCACGACAAAATTTGGAGAAACTCCTCACGAAAATTATAAAATTTTTAATTTGGTTTTAATATATTCAGATACTTTATTTTTCGCAGTATCTTTTACAGGTGAGCTCGTTGTGACATTCGTGAGAAGTTTTCTACTTAAAAGCGTAATGAACTTGTCAGTGAAAATATTGGTGGAAATGAAATTCTATGAATATTTTCAAAATTTATATTAAATTTTTTAATTTTTTAATTCAATTTAAGAAGGAAATTACGGAAAATGTTAATTAAAAAGGAAAAATTAGTGAACACCAATCTCTACTCCTTTCACACACACACATACACACATAATTCAGTTTCAATTCACATAACTGCCGGCTTTAAATGAAACAAAACGATTTTCAAAGAATCTTTATAGCTTTTCCAATTTGTTTTCTATTTTCTTTTCCTATTTTTTTTTTCTATTTTTTAAATTTTTTTCCCTTTTTATGCCTTGCTATTTTCTGGTTTTCATGCCATTTTGAAGCGCATAATTTATCGTAACAGGTTTCTGTGTACCCACAGTTGCATTTTTGTGTATGTTTGAATGGTTTATATTGGTCTGAGTTGGAAGCCCATGCAGTTTGTGTGTGTTTAATTGTGCTATTATTGTTGTGGCAAGTTTGTGTTACAAAGCTCTGTGTAATTTGCTCGTTTGCATAATAATCAACTTGAATCAAATCGAAATCAAATGATTTCGTTTCACTGCGGAACACACGAACGTTTATAAATATTCAAGGGCGTAGTTGGTGAATCGAAACATCGAAATTCAAGTTTTTTTGCTTCTTTTCGCTTTTAAATTTGCATAAATACACGATTTTTGATTTGTTTTAATTTTGCAAAATTTGGATTTTCTGATTTAAATACAATATATTTTATCGTTTGCATTTAAATCGAAAATATCTAATATTTATTCACTAATATTGATAACAACACTAACACCAATTTATTGCATTACAAAAATATTTTTACTATAAATATGTATTTTAATTTAAATGGGAATATATAATTTAAATATCCTTAATATATAGTATATACGATTATACTAGTTTAGTTTAATACAAAAACTAACCATGTTGTAGCTTAATATCTGGTTAGACACAACATTATGAAAGAATTAACTACCCAATAATAATTAATTAATTAATAATTAGGTTTTGAAAAATTAAAAGCATTGATGAGAACTAATACTTAATTTTTATAGGGAAGATACCCTGCAGACAGGAAGCATATAGAACTTATTTTGCGTACATATAAAATCGTGTAATAAGTTAACTTCTTAAGTATGTAATTGTAGTTGTAGACGTAGCGAATATAGAAAATGAGGGAACACAAAACTGGCGGAACGCAGAAAAAATGATTAGCTATGACGAAGTACACACAAAACAAAATAGAATAAAATCACAAACAACATAAGTTTAATCCGATCACCAAATACTTCGCACATAAAGAAATATTATTCACATATGGGTAAGCACTTGCCGTGCTTTAAACTAGAACGAGTTTATAAACTACAGCTTTATTATGGAAACACAAGTTCAATGAATTAAAAGTTAACTTTTGAGTTCACCTATTTTTTTATTTTCAAAACTATTCTTTTGTTGTTGTTTTGCATATTGTTTATGTACTATATGTAAAGCGTCCATTCTGGTGATTTTTAAACGTCCATTCTGGTGATTTTTAAGCGTCTATTTTAGTGATTTTTACATGGACGCTTTACATATAGTAATTACACAATATGCATAACAAATGTCTCTACAAAAAGAATAACTTTGAACATAAAAAAGAGAGAAAAGTTCTTCGTGAGATCTTTGGTTTTCTACGAGTTGGTGACGACTACCGCATAAAAGTGAACCACGAGCTGTACGAGCTTTATCACGACATTGATATAATTTAGCGCATTAACATCCAGCGGCTTCGCTGGCTTGAACATGTCGTGAGAATGTATGAAGATCCTCCGGGGAAGAGGCTGTTTGAAGCAGTAGTTGGCGGAAGAAGACGTAGACGTAGACCGTGTCTCCGGTGGAGTGATCAAGTTGAGAGAGCACTAACTGGACTTGATGTACGAGGCTGGAGAAGGAGTGCATGCGGCAGAGGCGCTTGGAGAGACATGCAGCGTCAGGTCGAAACTCGGTAACGGGTTCTTATGGCCAAATAAGTAAGTGCGTTAGTTAATGTCATTAATTAAATAAAAAAGTGACAAAAAACCTGGAACTAGAGCAATGAAAGTTTGTGCAGCTTTGGATAAACACGATTAGTCATCGCTTCTAATTTGACAGGCACGAGTTCCAAGCCTGACACTTGCAGTCCAAACAAATTATATACGGACTATAAACTAATTAAAATTCGATTATTTCCTAAGACTACTGATGATAGGTACTTGGTAATACTCGAAACAGCGTTGAATGGTCAGCCAAATTTCAATTTTCAATTTGTACTTTCTTTATTTCGTTGCTATTCGAAAACCCTCTAAATTTTAAATATAGCTTCTTTGTCACTATAAAGAAAGCGTGGCTTTTTCAGCTACACTAATACATACTTATAATTTAATTTACATATCAAATTATTTTAATAGTAGTTAATAAAACTCTTTTTCACTTATATAAATAGTTTTATTTATAAAATTTATTTAATATATGAATTTTTGTTACATTGAAATATATTTTTCTATAAAATTTTTTTATTTAATGGACAAAGAGTTTAAGCTATAAGCTATAACTGTTTGTCCATTATATACTAAAATTTTATAACATTTTTGCCACTATTAATATAGGTTTTGCCATTAATTCAATGCTTAATCTCCGATCGAAATAACTGAAAACAAATAGGCACGTAAATGAACCAAGGAAGGTATTTCAAAGTGCTATTTATTATGCAGTGTTGCGTCGATATGAAATCTATATTAGTCAAACAAACTTCATTATTATTGAGAAATATCTCGGCTATTGACTTATAGTAACTATTTTGAAACGTACCGTCTAGCTTTGAAATTAAAAAAAATTTTATAATAAGTTTTAATAGCTTGAGAATTATTGGCAAAAGATATATAGTAATGGATAGTCGGTTGGTTCCGAAAAGTGATATCCTGTTAAGATAACATATAAATCCTAATAGAAAAAGATGCAAGCATGTAAATACGATGAAATCGATAATGTCAGTTGTCAGCAGTTTAAGGGGTGTGAAAAGTTTACAGCAATCCAAAAAATTTGGCGGTTTTAATGTTATATCGTCATCGTTTGCTCTGTCAATTTCATTTGAAATATTTTGTAAATCCTTTTTGGTTTGACAATCAAATATAATTTTTTGCAAATTAGTTTGATTCATATTAGAGATGGAACAGTTAGCATCTTCCGAAGAGGATTCTTTTGTTTGTGAAAGTTCATTTCTTTGATATTTAAATGATGCCATATCTTCAGTTTCTATATCTTTGTTGTAAAAAATTGTAATTATATAAATTATAATTCTAATTAAGTAATAAAGTATCAAATACCATTCGTAATAGTAGTATATGTTTCTTCTGATCCATTTTTTATCAAAAATTTGTGCGGATCAGTAAAATTGTCCTCTTGCGAGACGATGTCATTAGTATTTGAATTAGTTTCATCTGTTGATATTTAGCACATAAATATTATTTTTCAAACTTTGTTAGTGAATAATAAATAAATTTCATAAAACTGCAGATGCATTGTTAAATTATATCCATATAATATGAGTTTTATGGAAATTAAATACCTTGCTCCGTATCAAATGCTTTGGCGAATTTATCTTTAAATTCTAAAATATATTGACAATCATCATTAATTCTGTTCTCATCTGCTATTTTTAAATCACTAGATGAAATATTTTTCTACATACTTTAAAAAAAAAAATTGGAATACCTTTTTTACTTGAGTTTATGGTTAAATCATTTTTAATCTCAGATGTGTTTGAAAGTAGGCACATCTCATCAGTAATTACATGGGTTTTATCTGCTTCAATATGAAAAGTTAACAATATATTTTTTAAATTATATCAGAGAATAATAATACCATTTGTTTTTGAAGTAGATGTTTCTATTAATCCATTAATAATATCCATGGTATCTTGTGCAATATAATCATAATAAAACGAATGAGTATTTTCTTCGCAGATGTTTGACCAATTTGCTTTAATGTATATCATATTAGTTATGTTTTTAACTCTACTATATACTAATAAATACCTTTTGCAAAAAGGTTATACTCATTTGCAAACTGATCTGTAATATCCAAGTTTGACATACTTAATACAGCTTTATCAGCTTTTATGGAAGTTGCTTAAATTTAAATTACACAACTTTAATTATTATTGAATAATTTTTAAGGGATAATTGCATACCTTGTTCCAAAGACGGTATTACAAATAATTGTTTGGCGTTTACACTACTTGCTTTAACAGAGCTAAGTTCAACTATGGAACCATCAAAAGTATTCTTAAAAGTTGGTATATCTCTCTCAGATTTTATTCCTAATTTTGATTTTAAATTGTAAATATTTAATGATCAGATATTTTGTTTTTTAACGGGTTAATTAAAAATATTGGAAGTTAAAACGTTACAATTAATAACAACCCTGTTATTGATAGCAACGTTGCGATCAGTCTTGGAGTTATGTCAATAGATAAATGTGAACTATACTGTATAATTATATTATCGTTTTCTTTAAAACTTGAATTTTCGTTTGAATTTTATGTTAAAATTTCTTGTTTGATTTGACAAGATTTGAAAAATTTTAAATATTGAAAATTGGTCAAAATGGTTGATTCATTTTGGTTCTTTCTATTCAATATTTTGTATAATAAAACATTATCTAAAAATATTAAATTTACCTTCAATTTTCTTTAAAATTCCTGACGCCTGCTTAATTACTTTAAGTTTTATTAAATCTTCATACATAATACCTGACGTGTTCATACAGTTATTATTAAATATGTTTCTTATTCTATATTTCGGGACTTCCCCATTTTCATATGTATCATTTTCATATGTTGGTGTTATTTCAGGTGCAGTAAGATCCAAAATAAACATAGTTAATTTCTTTGCTCTATTCTGCTTTAAAATAAAATTTTTTAAATTCTGTTCAAAACGAATTACTGGCCGTGGTTCGATCCATATAAAAGGCATTACGTATTTCACTTGTGCTGCTGTTATTAAAATGAACTTAAGAGTATAATTCAATTTATTGGAACATATGCCATCCTCTTCTTGCTGATACAATTTTAATAAACTTTTTGGATACTTAGAAAAGTGTTCATCCTCCATTGCAATAATTCCAAACTCAGGAGCCGCTAGTAAAAATTCTTTAACTTTTCTTATGTTATTAGTTATAGCTTTATCAAAATTGAGTTTAATTGGAAGGTAAGTTTTTGGCCACTCGAAAATTTTAATAAGCTTTTCAAAATGTATTTGATGAGAACAATTTTGGCGCGAAAATTCTTCCAAAGAATTAATTAGATCAGTAGCCATAATTGCAAATTTCTCGGTAATACATTCGTTTGATTGAAGACTTAAATTTTCACCGTCATAAAAGTGGTGGCTTGAGTCAACTGAATTATATTTCAGAGCTTCTAATAAAGTATCTGGTTCCCATTTCTCTAACTGTATTTCTATCTTACCAAAGTTGATAAACATTTTGGCGTTTGCATTCACATTAAAGTCAAGAGATAAATTTGATTCTTTGTTGTGTATTTTGCATTCATTTGGTCCCAGAAATTGGAAGTTATTAGTCTCAATAGAATTTTGCTTTAAAATCTATAAAAAAAAGGTGTTTTTATATATAATTTTTCTTTATAGGTGATATGCAAACATTATAGCTTAACTCTATATCTGCTATCTGTATCTTAGTTTATCAATTTATATACAGATTTGTGTAAGTCGTTTTTGTTTGAAAAATATGTCATCTGGTAAATACATTAATTCACCTCATAAGAATATTATGTTTGTGGTGAGTTCGAAATATACAGTCGGTTAGTGGACCATGGTAGAAGATTGGATATGGCATTTACCGGTTGCTGTCGTAGTTGTGTGAAAGACGAAAACATGGCTCACATTTGCTTTGTTAGTGTCCAGCGACTGATTAGAACAGAGAATCTTAGTTAGGTTTCAGATTTGGCTTAAAGGAACATTTTAGGGTTTGTTTGAGGTTCAGTGTTATTGTTAAACAACAATGTTATTATTTAAGTTAATGTTATTACGATTATATGCAGTGGCATAGTGAGCTGATGGTTCTGAAAGTTTTTGTGGTGTCGACGATATAACCTAACCTATTTAATTAATATGTCAGATGTTAATGAAACCTTCAAATAATAATGCAACAATTTCTGTTCCCTATAAGGAACACTATGTCATCTCTACTATTTTTAGTTATACTAGTTATGGTAATAAAGAAAACGAATAAAGTTCGAAAGGATCTAGTATATATAGCTGATATTTTTTAATTCGTTTTCAATCCAGAGTATATAAAATACAAACTGTTTTCTCACATATTTAGGGTCCAAAAAGTTTCAAATTTTGCAAAAAAAACTAAACAAATTCGCGTAAAAACAGCCAAGATGGCATCTTTTACGGTGAGAAAGGAATAAAGAAGCGTCACAATAAAAGATGTCAAGTAGTTTAAGTATGTTGGCTATATCTCAAGGAGAAACGATAATAGTGGCGCGGAAAGCATGAAGAAGAACAACGATCATCTCAGTAACTTAGAACACTCGTTGTCTACTAAGTAAGATAGAGAATAGTGCTTATTTTTGTCCTATGCTATGGGTACAAAAAAAAATATCTATCTAAAATATCTATATATCTATCTATATTATCTATTGTCAAAATAATAATGGTATTTCAGCTATAGTTACTTACTTTTTTGTCCTTATTAATTCTTAAAGAATTTTTGAGGATCTTAACATTCATTTTTAGTTTTAATATCTTTTTTATTTTTTGCTTTTGATATCTTTTTTTTTGATAGTGTTTCAGTATGTGATTTCTACACGCGATCTTATTCAACACTGAGTCTTTTATTGTAAATAATTTCTGTTGGCGGAAACCTTGGGTTTGCCCTCCACTTTTATTGAATTGATCTTCTGATGTTTTTGTAAGTAACTTATTTGAGTTATTATTGAAGTCGTATTCAGGAGCAGTATTTGTAGTATTTTCCAAGGAATTTTTGTAATTATCTGCTTGGGAGCACAACTTTGGATTGACGGTATCTCCATCGTTAGATAGGCCTGATGTAGTTCCAGAAGCAATTAAATACTTGTAATTTTTATATCTCTATTTTTTATACTTACTCTCTAATTCCGCTTGATTAATGGTGCTTGTGACAGGTTCTACTATTACATTTTCTGCCGCAACTATACCGATTTCTTCATTTTTAATTTCAACATTTGTTGATAGTTCCGGAGACGCATCTTGGGGATTTTGCCCCAAAGACTTACATGCTTTGCAATCTTGCATTTTTAAAATGTTACAATTTTGTGATCCAAAATTTTTGTACAAGAGATTTTAACAATAATGTTAGTATATATTATACCAAAGAACTTATATTGCCGAAGTAATATGTTAAAGCAATTTTACGAAAAATCTTCTGAAAAAATAAAAATTTTGAAAAAAATTTTGACATATGAAGGAAATAAAAATTTTTTTAAGTTTGTTTTTTAAGTTAGACATATATTAAACCTTTTTAAACAAAATTTTAATAACTACTAATATCCAACAACACAACAAATTTCACAACTTATCAATTAACAAATAAAGAAGATGTATCAATAATCTAATGATCATAATCATCACAATTTTTCATAGTTTTTTTCTTATAAAGCTATAAGGTGCTTACAATATTTATCAGGAGGCTGATATTTAAATCACCTTTACATTTGAATCTACTGAATATGATGCATTACCTAAGAGTACAAGCTATTCCTTTAGTTAATATATCGCATTTTTCTAATATGTGCTCTAATGGCTTACGTTCTTTCTCGCAGAATCTGCAATAAAGTTGTATGTAGTAACGTGTTCGGAGGTGGTTTAAGCCTACTACAGCAGGTCACCAACTCGGTTTACAATGTCATTCGATCTTAGAAAAACCAATAAAGAATTTAAATACTATTATTATATAATTATATCATATAATATTATTAAATTTAAATCAATTATTATAATCTCCTGATGAGAAGTCTAAAAGGATTGTCTCAAATCTATTATGCTTACAATGAGTTTTTATCTCTTTAGTCTTTCTTGATCTTTTAGCATTCCCTACCATACTTCTCTAACTATACTGTAATTGGGTCTAGGCCCCAACATAACCGGAGGTTTATTTTTAATGAGTTTATCGGTTTGTCTATATTACAGGATAGTTAAAGAAAGCTGAGATCTAAGGGATAACCTAAGGGTATAGAACTCAATATGCCAAGAGTTCTATACCGTATTTCTAAGAAATTAAAATTGATATCGAATGCAAAAGATATGATTCCAATACTAAATATGTAAGCGGATGACGATTAATTTAAGAGTCATTACCGTTGGTGGTATATTATATGCATAATTTAAAACGACTTTAAAATATTCAAGTATAGACTTACCAATTAAACGATTTAGTGCGATCAATATGTAAAAACGTATATGTAAATATACACAAAAATATATAAACTTAATATTTACATTTATAAAATTGTGTTATAAATTTTATAAGTGAAAATTTAATTTTTTAATTGACAGCTAAACTAATAAAATAAAATTCAATGCAACTGACACAAAAAAACTTCATAAGTTATTGCTAGAGATAATCAACCTACTTAATCTTTAATGACTTATAGTATGAGCTTATCTTACAAATCTTTTTTAAAGAATTTATTCAAGTTTTCTTATTTCAAAAATAACAAAATCCTAGGCTCCTTAAGATAAACCCGAGTATAAATTTAGTACGATAACCTAAACATACCATTATTACGATTTACGATTCCGTTTAAGTCCGGCTTTCACTTTCTGAACCATTTTAGGTGATGTTGCTGCTTTTTTTCGTCCACTACCATAGCGTTTGACGATGATACATGTACTATTATAACGATTTATGGTACGATACACAAACATTTTAATCACTTTAAGGTGTTTGAGCTGACGAAAAATAGCTGGTTATGATACTTCAGCCAAATATAACGCAATCACACAATTTCGTTTGAAGTTCATTTCGAAAAACTTTTGTTTTATAAAACTTAGACGCATATTCTTGTGGTTGCTTGTAAACAATATAAACAGCTGTCAATCTTATAAATTTCACATAGTTGGCAATATCAGTTTGACAGATATATCTTTTTGTTTTTGTTGGTAACACTTCAAACCCTGTATATATGCAACACATCACTTAATAAGTCTGATTTAAATAAGAAAAGCAGTTTTTTATAAATTCAACTCAATGCTCTTCTTTAAGATTGATGTTTTCACACAAACGCCCCTCTAACTTATTTATATGGTCACGTAAAAATGACCAAAATCAAAATGTTGATACAATATTATAGTTTTGTTTGATTATATATTAATTGTATCTACTTTCTTGCTGTTTTATTGCCATCTTAACTGCAAATATTGACCACACGTAATTTAGGACGAAAATTTAAGTATCGAAACCATTCAATTGAAAAATATTCCATCCAACAACAAATTGAATTTTTATATTTCAAAGGTACGAAAATGTGACAGAACTATTAGTTATACATAAACCAAAAAAAACATTTTTTTTTCTATATATAATATATATATGCCTTATATTTATAGAAAATATTATTTGTTTTTTAATATTTACTTTTTATTTATGTATGTATTTACTACATTTCTGATATATGATAAAGTTTTCGTTAGTATGACTCTAAAAATGTTCGATATTTTAACTTTGAAATGTGGCCACATTTTTCGTATACTTTTTTTTAGAGTTTTTAATACAATAATGAATGAGCGACTAATACTGCTGGCGATAATGACACATTTATTAACTGTATGGCAATAAATTTTATATAAATATCAAAAATAAAACCTAAAGAGAATTTTAAGCTTGAAATACGCCATAGAACGATTATCTCCTAATTCAACATGATTTCTACATTACACAATAATGAAAACGCGATTAATAACGCTGGCAATAATGCCACAACTGCTAATGCCATTGCGATGTATTTAACAGCCATATCAAATCCAACCTAATGAGAATTAAAACTAAATAATATAAATTATTAATTGTAAGCACAACCTTAAAATATTTTGAACTTTGGCTAAGGCGACGAATTATTAATTTAACATTTTGTGTATCATACAATAATGAAAACGCGATTAATATCGCTGACAACAATGCCACAACTGCTAGTGCCATTGCGATACATTTAATAAATATATCAAAACCAACCTAATGAGAATTAAAATTACTTAATATAAAATATTAACTGTAAGCGTAGTTAAAGCACAACATTAAAATATTTTAAACTTTGGCTATTTACTTAGCATTAAAAAATATTATATATTTCAATATATATGTTTATATTTTCTTTTTCTTAAGACATAAGCTTACAACATATTCACAGATAAAAGAAAAAAAATTACATTAGGCGACGAATTATTAATTTAAGATTTTTGGCATTATACAATAATGAAAACGTGATTAATATCACTGGCAATAATGCCACAACTACTAGTTTCATTACGATTCATTATATATACGTACCAAAAACAACCTAATGAGAATTAAAACTAAATAATATAAAATATTATTTGTAAATGTAGTTATGTTAAATGACAATTTTTAAATATTTTAAATTATGGATCATTTATATATATATATAAAATATTATACATTTTAATAAGAATTTTATATATATATTTTATTTTTCTTAAGCAATAAGTATTAATTATAAATTATTAAATAATTAGAAATTGTTTAAGGTTTTTCACATGACCACATGACTATAAATTTATACAATTTTGGAGTCAGTTAAAAATAATCATATGTACTTCAGATTGGAAAGAAAATGCTTATTTAGTAGAAATATAATCTGTATAAAAAGTATCCCAAATTTTAAATTTGTAAAGATATACTTTCGTAGTAAAATTGCAACTTATAACAGAGAAGTTGCGAGTTAAAAGATGTTAATTTTAATACTTAAGTGGTGCACAAAAAAATCAATAATACTCTAACGACCCTATCAATACGTCTCTTCAGTTCGATGTCACAAACGACGAAGAACTAACCAATTTTTAAAAGAGTTAAATCATCCTTGGCCTTGATTTTAATGTCATAGAACATGTTTAGCCCTTCATAAAACAGCTAAGGCCTATTGATAAAAATCGAAAACGTAGTAATACTGTAATTGAAACAAAGGAAATTTGGTCCAAATTAACTCTTGATATTGCTAGCTAGTCGCCAGCGAGGTTGCAGGCAGTTATTAATGCCAAAGGTGCTGTAACTAAATATTAATTATATTAATAAAAGAAGCATAAGAAATTTAAAAAAAAATTTTTAATTAAGAAGAAGGAAATGCAATTAATGTCGTGTATAAATACTTTTAACGCGAAAAAAATGTGTATGAATACTTTTGACAACTTATAAGCATCAGTACATTTCTTCTATTTCTGTAGTATGAAACGTTATCTTTATATTATTTATATATTTATATATATATATATATATATATTATATCGTTATATTATTAACTAATTGATTTTCTGTTCAGAAGCATACTCAGATAAAGGGGGGTTTAAAATACTGACGCCGCTTTATAAATAAATCTAAGGACTATGTTTATACATTTGGGGAAGGAATATACACTAATGTAATATAATTGTTTTGTAAGATAAAAATTATTTGAACTATTGAAATATTTGAAACCTCTTCTTATGTAAATTTAAGTGTACCTCCATTTGATATTGACATATCACTGTTCTTCTTTTCAATGATTAAATTTTTTTATAAAAAAACTTAAACTTAAACTCTTAAATATTATTAACTCTTTATGGTATTGGTAGTTTTTTAATTTTGAGAAATATAATTTTGATATGGCTAAAGTTTAAGATTTTTTTATTCGTTTTGTAGGCAAAAGTTGCTGGTTGAAAATATAAAATCAATTGAAACAAAAATCCATACTAAAATTATAATAAAATGTTACATATTTTTATTTGCAAATTTACAAGTATATTAATTTGAGTCAAGTAATTTTGGATATATGAAATATATTAAACGCCATCGGCGCTCATTAATTTCCAAACCGTAAACAGTGGAGAAAAAATTGAAGTTGAGCATGTGAGTGCATGTTAGTTGCTTGGAAATATTTAAAATTAAAAGGATCAGGACTATGTGTAGTATGTAAACGGATTGTTGAATTTATTCTCATATACGAGTATGTATTAAAAACATTTGCCATGGTAATGTAGAGTTATTTTCGCTTCGCTGTAAGCCAAGTATTTCAGATACACAGGCACATGTTAAAATACATTTAAAAATAGTCACTGCCACATTGAGGAGAAAGTTTTGGTAAGAAGTTCTGGAGCTTTGTGGTAACACTACACTGTAATCGGATATGACATTTTGGTCCCCTGGGGTGCACTTGTAGATTATGTTTTTATTAAGCTTGTTTAAAGTTAATACCAGACATGTACGGATATTTCATTAAAATATCTCTAATATGTAAATTTGGTTCTAGAAAATTTTAAGTGAAAATATATTACTTTAGCAAAAAGGATTATTAAAAGTTTTTAATTTTATTTGGATTTAGGCAGGCAGAATTTCTTTACATGTCGACTTTTTCGTATGTTAAGTACATACATGTTCTGGTATAGACGCGATTACAACTATGCATTAATATTAGTTACATTAGTTTAAGTTGCTGAAGCTATGTGTCTGTAGTAGATCTTGTATCACAAGTGGTTATTTTATATATAACTAGATTTAAATTTATTATATATTTTTTTTTTACAAATGTAATTCTGGAAACCATATCTCATTAAGTTAACGTTACCGTTTCCGCTTCCGCTTCCGAAACTCTCTTGCTTAATGTAAGTCATTTCAATGACATATGAAAAATATTTTTTTTGCTCTCATTTCGTAACATTTGTTAATGGCATAACTTGATGAACTGCACACGTCATCGTTTCGACTGTAATGCGCATATATTTTTAACAGAATCCCCTCAGGATATGGTATGTTGAAAGAATGATTAAGTCGTTGAGAACTGCAGCATCTGTGTGTTCTAGCTCGAACCTCAACAGCCTGTTGAATGTCGTTTAATTACACGACGACTCGACGACTCAGTTTAATTTTAAATGCTTGATGGAACAAAATGATTAAAGGAGATCCTGTCATATCACATTATTTTCAATGTTTTTGTTTGAAAATTAAGAATTTCAGTATAGTCTCAATGGTTGCTCAGGTGTACTCGCTCATAATGAACATGTTAACTGTTTAAATATTACACATATATTATGTATAATTGATGCATGAATCATGTCTTTTTATAATTTACATTGGTAATTATGTTGTAATTCAGATTCTTTAATTTTAAAAATTATTGAGTTGAAACATTTTGACTGAATTATAATTAAATGATTTTTAAATGGTATGAATTGTAATGGAAAATTTAACATCATTTCGAAATAAGTGATAATTACATTAATAAATCGAGTGTTGTTCA